GCGATGCTGTCCAATGTTGGGTTTAGCAAATCGATTCAGTCAGGCCATTAAGAATTTAAGAATGAAAGAGAAAAGAAAGAAAGAAGGAAAGAGAAAAAAAAAATTAACCACGAGGAAAAAAAACAAGAGATAATTATGGGAAAAAAAATCGAACGAAAAACAAGGACCCACCCGGGTTTGAACCGGGGACCATTCGGACTGCAGCCGAACGCTCTACCACTGAGCTATGAATCCGATGATGCAATCATCCAGAGGGAGAAGAGAAGAATATATATTTTTTTTATGAATCTTATTATTGTTTTTTTTTTTTTTTGTTTCTGATCCGAGGCCGAATCGTCGGCGCGGGCGTGGGGCGAGAGAAAAAAAAAAAAACTATAAGAACAATAAAATTGATTGGTTCTCTTTATTTTAAAAATAATTAAATCGTTTAAGAGAACTTTTCATTTTTCATTCTGTATGGCGTTTGGCCGCCCCTGTGGGCTTCTTCTGGGGTCCGCTCGGCCAGTTTATTTTCGTAGGTGGGCAAAACTTTCTTGGTCACCCATGGGGGGTGGGGTTGTGTTTCCCCAGTTCGGTGCTCTTTGGTGCGGGGTGGCCGTCATACCTTTAAACGCGGTAAGGTTGGAAGAGAAAAAAACAAGAGCTTAGAAGAGGGCGTGTAAAATGGGTGTTGCTGCCTTTGAGGTTCCGTGGTGATGCATGTTGTCTTTCAGTTTTCATGGACCGCTGCACATTTTAACAGTAAGTGGTACAAACTTTATTGCATTTTTTTTTTTTTTTTTTTTTTTTGTGACATGATGCGGAACTGATTTTGTGATACAAGTAATTTTCTGAAATTACTACTGTTGCAATATTGGAGTTCATTATGGTACTGGCGGCGAGGTATTCTGTCTTGTGGGGTTCTTCCTCGTCTTGGAAAAGACTATTTGTGAAAGACCTCATCGTGGTTTTGGGCTGGAAAACAAGAACCTGACATTATATGAAGTGTAGAGAGTGAAGAATTTGGTGCATTCAAATAAAATAAATTTCGAAAAGGGGGTGGGGTGGGGGGATGTTTTCCTACGGGTGCATCTCCAAAGATTGTTTCGCGCCAAACCTTATTTCTTTTGGCATATCTGCAGTTTTAATACCCTCTTGTAGTACAACTGGATAAAGTTCCTTGAAAATGATTAAATTTTTCTTCTGCAGTGTGTTTATAAATTCCCCAAGAATTCTTGCAATACATTAACAACCCAGAGTAAATAAGTCCAAGAGAAAAACTCATCTCATCTTGCACTTCTGAGGTTAGGAATCGAAGAACGTGGAGGAGTCTGAGTTATTATGAGATATGTCCCACTAAGGTCCAGTGGTTTTTTGCCACATATATGATAACGAAATGTATTTTCTCATTTCCTACCCCTAAAAAAAGTTTTTTTTTTTGCTGAGGGTGGGTGGGTGAACTGGGTTGTAAAGAAATCCAAGAGAACTGCGTCTCAGAGTGGTGTTGTACGATCTTCAGTATAAGGGTCAGATGCGATAAGACCCGTTGCATAATGTTCTGCGAGTTTTTTAATTTGTAGTCCAGAATAGGTATAACATTAGTCTGGGTTTGCAATCAGCTGGCACCTGTGAGTGTTAGCATGTCTTGCCAGATCTGCTCTCTTCTTCACTCGGTTTGTTACAGTGGGTCTTTTATTTATGGTTACTTGAACAGATTCACTTTATTTTAAAAGGAAAAATTATTTTTTTTTTTCTGTGGGGGAGATGTACAGAGGAGTATCAATCGCCTTGGAAGTATTGGTATCATACATTACTCAATTCCTATAACTGCAGGTTCGTACACCACAATCTGCGGCAGGTTTTTTTACTGTCATTGGTGGAGTTTAACATTGTGGCTAAGATTATTAGCCTGGATGGTGACGGAAGAACAACTCCCCACCTCATCCGTTGAAGGTCTCTACGTGCGATAACGGTGTTACACCGGATCGTTTAGGATAACTATACATTTCTCTCCTGATAGTTCTTTATGGGTTGGTTTTTCTGATATCTGGTGGAAGTTGGGCTCCGATGTGAGCTGTGTCTTGTATTGAGAAACTAGGGAAGAATACGCCGTGAGAGTAACCGTTTATAGCTAGGTGTGCTTTTACTGATATTTAGGAGCTTATTTTGTTCACCCACAAAGAAAAAATGTTCATCCTACAAAATCACGTGGTTCGCAAATCTAAGCGTTGTGGTGATTCAAAGAAGGAGTTTAGGACTAGGTTTTCTTAACGTACTCATAGATGCATTATTATAACCATACACCTTCATTTGTCCAATATATTAGCCGTATCACAGTTGTATACGATATCTGTGCGTCTGAGGATGAGGAGGTGCTCCTCATAACCATAATTGCCTCTCATGACCATTTTTTTTTCTCCACCTTACTAAGGATGAAGATAATGTCAATGCCTCGGTAAAAATCCAGCACTTACTATCTCTTTACACGTTTCAAGTTTTGAAGACGAATTACTCGTTTTCACTATTACGGGATTGATCCGAAATATCAACGATACGTGATACATTAAACTTAGAATTGAAGTATTGTCTATAAGAGTTGTCATGACAACTTTTAATACACCTCATAAGGTCTAGGAGTTTGTAAAAAGAATATGCATATAGATTTTATCTATAACAATCTGGGGTTTGGGGGGTTGTGTGATCTTCTTCTTTCCTTGGGTTTTGTTGTAGTCTAAAAGAAGATCTGGCTGAACGGTTAGAAAGGAATTAAGTTTTTTTTTTTTTTTTCTCCCTCATCCACCCCTTAGTCCCTTCACGCGAAGGGGTCTGGTGACGAAAAGGGCCTTGGAATCTGCCACTTCGTAACTCCTGCTTGGTGATTCTTCCTGTAGTATAGAGAATTGGATCTTTAATGCCTTCTCTTTACATCTCGTGTCATAGAAAGCTACTATGGAAGTAATTGGAACTTCATGGAGTATTTGTTTGGTCGTTTATTTCTGTTTATTTGTTTGCAGGGTTGGACCAAAGTAGGAACCATATTCAGGATTTTTTTTTAAAACTCTTTGCTTGGATTTGTTGGATGTTGCGTGCGTTTTCCTGTTGGTGCTGACTTCAGCTTTTCATTGTGTGTTTTGGTCGTTTGTTCTTTCCATTGGGTATGATTGTGTGTATCCTTCTCTTTTGTCACCCTCTTTCTCTGGTTTCTGACTCTGCATTTTCTCTCTCTCCCAGAGACACATGCGCTGCAGCGTGAAGAATCTGTTCAAGTGCAGACGGCCATACCAGATCCTTTGGTTGATGGTTGTTGCCTCTCTATTGTTGTGCTTGCTATTTACCTCAAGTGTATCAGAATATGGGGTTTTTGTTAATTACGTCTCAAGCATGAACGTCACAAATCCAGCAGAACCAGTTCGGCAAGGCAGCACACCGCGGGTTGTCTTTCTCGTTGTCCAGACGAAAATTTCACCTGGGTGGTGCCGAATGCAGCTGAGTTCTATCATGTCCAAGGTGTCTGTGGTCACTATTGGCGTCGGAATGAACTACACACATACGAAACGCCCCCAGTGGTTGCTGGAGTACATCAACCAAGAGGGTCTTCGAGACCACGATGTTGTTGTGGTATTTGATGGTGGTGACACTTTTTTCACTGGGGTCAGTAGGGTGCAGCGGGCAGTGGATTATTTTATGGCGAGAACGGCACCCACCGCCGCTAAATTTGATGCCACTGCCGTACAGAACGGAAATGCAACAGCACCATTACTCTTTGCGAGCGACTCTCTGTGTTTCACACCTCAGTTGGAATTTGTTGTCACAGAGGGACCGAGGGATTATATAGAAAAATGCCACTGGTTTTACAAGAGTATGTTTGCTGTTGCAGGGTCTATTCCTGGTCAACGCTTGGTACGATTAAAAGGAGTTAAGTATCGTTACCTTAATGCAGGGGGTTTTGTGGGGCGTGTGTGGGCTCTGCGAACTGCTTTTGCTGTGTATGCAAGAGTGGCAGCAATGCACCGTAACTGGACATGCGACCAGAGCATTTGGAGCTTGTTGCACGTCTTGAGTCTGTGGCAGAAGCCGGACCTTCCCCAGCATTTGCGTTTACCCTATGGTATTCTGAGTCTTGATTACGATCATGAGTTTTTTTGCAATGCGCGGTACAAACATCCCGCATTCTCTGCAATTCATCATTTCCCTGGAAGTATGTTGACGTGGCGACGCATTTTACCCAGGTATTTAAGAAGGACGACGTGGTTCTATGAGTTACAACAAAAACCACGTTTACTGGAGGAGACGAAGCGTCTTTTGCGTTGTGCAAAGCTTGTGAAGGTGCGCGGAGCCGATGGGCTTACGCGTACACACCATTATGGAAGAGTGTGTTCCATCGGAGACGCTCTGAGTGCCACATGGCTGATGAGTCCCTTGGAAAAGTATTAGTTTTTTTGTTGCTTTTGCGTTGTGATGTGTGACTTGCACAGCACACATATTTTCTGGTTTTTGGTGAAACATTGATTTCTGACATGGAAGCGCTTTACTGGTTATGACTGAAATGAATTGCCCACTAGGACGTCTGGACGAGTTTTTGGATGATGCAGGATAAAAACCTGTTTTTCTTCTTCTTCTTCTCGTCATGCCTTTCTTTTGAAAAGGTGGTGGTAGTGCGTGCATGAATTGCTAAGAGCAGGAAGTGTCGACCATGTAGTGTTGATGCCGAGCAGGATTCCTTAGGGCGGCATGCGAGAGATGTTTATTTTGCTGGGTATACTGACCTCCCAGTCCATGTCAATTGTGCGCTCTACTGCGACTCTCTGTAGCTTCAGTGCGTGGAATCCAATCTGACTGGCAGTGTACTCTCGTGCCATTGTGGTTAATGGACCCCGCACGTGGGTTTGCCTGAAAACTGTAGTGTTACCGAGTGTGTGTAGGGTGCTACAACATTTTTTCTCTGGCTCCCTACATTGTGGTATCCTTTGGAGAAAGCACAGCGACATCTAAGTTATGCATGCATGGTGAGAGAGAGTGTTGCTGCGCGATCTTGAAGTTTTTTGGAATTCGCCTTTGATGATAGCTAGGAATGAGCAGGTGTGGTTGTTGGGCGGCGCATTGGGTGATGGCAGAGCTCCTGCTGCTTTGGTGCGCCTCCCGGGGCTTTGGGAAACGGCCGGTGTCTTTCTATGGATCGCCTTGCGTGGCGCTACCCTGGCAAGACACGCGGTGATGCCTTTTTAGGTGATTCGATTCTCTCTACGTTTTGTGTTACTCCAGTGGTGCGTGCGCACTGTGAGCTGCGAGCAGGTCTGGGAATTTGGGCTGGGGCGTTGCTGTATTGATGTGTTGCTGGAATGAATCTACCTCATTACCGGTGTGACTTTGCTTTGTTTTGCTTCTTGATGTTGCTCTCACTCCATTTTTTTTTCTTTAACTCTTTGCTTGGATTTGTTGGATGTTGCGTGCGTTTTCCTGTTGGTGCTGACTTCAGCTTTTCATTGTGTGTTTTGGTCGTTTGTTCTTTCCANATGGATCGCCTTGCGTGGCGCTACCCTGGCAAGACACGCGGTGATGCCTTTTTAGGTGATTCGATTCTCTACGTTTTGTGTTACTCCGGTGGTGCGTGCGCACTGTGAGCTGCGAGCCGGTCTGGAATTTGGGCTGAGGCGTTGATGTGTTGCTGGAATGAATCTACCTCATTACCGGTGTGACTTTGCTTTGTTTTGCCTCCTCATGTTGCTCTCACTCCATTTTTTTTTTTTAACTCTTTGCTTGGATTTGTTGGATGTTTCGTGCGTTTTCCTGTTGGTGATGTCTTCAGTTTTTCATTGTGTATTTTGGTCGTTTGTTCTTTCCATTGGGTATGATTGTGTGCATCGTTCACTTTTATCACCCTCTTTCTTTGGTTTCTGACTCTTCATTTTTTCTCTCTCCCAGAGACACATGCGCTGCAGCGTGAAGGATCTGTGCCGGTGCCGAGGTGCGTATCCGGTGTTTTGGTTGATGGTTGTTGCCTCTCTCTTGTTGTGCTTGATGTTTACCTTAAGTGTATCAGAATATGGAGTTTTTGTTAATCGCGTCTCAAGCATGAACGTCACAAATCCAACCAAACCAGTTCGGCAAGGCAACGCATCGCGGGTTGTCTTTCTCGTTGTCCAGTCGAAATTTTCACCTGGGTGGTGCCGAATGCAGCTGAGCTCTATCATGTCCAATGTATCTGTGGTCACTATTGGCGTCGGAATGAACTACACACATACGAAACGTCCTCAGTGGGCGCTGGAGTACATGGAACAGGAAGGTCTTCGAGATGACGATGTTGTTGTGGTATTTGATGGTGGTGACACTGTTTTCACTGGGGCCAGTAGGGTTCAGCAGGCAGTGGATTATTTCATGGCGAAAACGGCACCCACCGCCGCTAAATTTNTTTCACCTGGGTGGTGCCGAATGCAGCTGAGTTCTATCATGTCCAAGGTGTCTGTGGTCACTATTGGCGTCGGAATGAACTACACACATACGAAACGCCCCCAGTGGTTGCTGGAGTACATCAACCAAGAGGGTCTTCGAGACCACGATGTTGTTGTGGTATTTGATGGTGGTGACACTTTTTTCACTGGGGCCAGCAGGGTGCAGCGGGCAGTGGATTATTTTATGGCGAGAACGGCACCCACCGCCGCTAAATTTGATGCCACTGCCGTACAGAAAGGAAATGCAACAGCACCATTACTCTTTGCGAGCGACTCTCTGTGTTTCACACCTCAGTTGGAATTTGTTGTCACAGAGGGACCAAAGGGTCCCATTGCAAAATGCCAGTGGTTTTACAAGAGTATGTTTGCTGTTGCAGGGTCTATTCCTGGTCAACGCTTGGTACGATTAAAAGGAGTTAAGTATCGTTACCTTAATGCAGGGGGTTTTGTGGGGCGTGTGTGGGCGCTACGAGCTGCGTTCGCCGCGTATGCAAGAGTGGCAGCAATGCACCGTAACTGGACATGCGACCAGAGCATCTGGGCGCTCCTGTACGTATGGAGTATACTTCAAAAACCTGAAGTGCCAACCCATTTGTGTTTGCCCTATGGTATTATGAGTCTTGATTACAATCACATTTTTTTCTTCAACCCATACATGGGTCGTGTTAAGAAGGCTGCGATTCTTCATTTCCCCGGGGAAGCATATGGCTGGAAACGTTTTTTGCCGCGAAACTTAAGAATCTCAACATGGTTCCATGAGTTACAGCAAAAACCACGTTTACTGGAGGAGACGAAGCGTCTTTTGCGTTGTGCAAAGCTTGTGAAGGTGCGCGGAGCCGATGGGCTTACGCGTACACACCGTTATGGAAGAGTGTGTTCCATCGGAGACGCTCTGAGTGCCACATGGCTGATGAGTCCATTAAAAAAGTAATAGTTTTTTTTTTTTGCTTTTGCGCTGTGATGTTTTTAGTTTCATTTTGGGTGTTTTTTTTCTTGTGGAAATCGTTTACTTTAAGAGTAACGCAGCAGCTTCATTATGGGCCAAAATGTGTAGTCGATAATCATATTTGCATAGCTTTTTGAGTGATTTAGAATATCATTTAATTCTATTATTCTCCTTGTGTGGGAGGATATCAATGCCCACATTATTTACTTTAACGGTTTGTGTTATTGCAGTGTTGACTGTTTATCGTTGCTGGTGAAAGTGGTTCTTCAATAGGGATAATTATGAGTTTTTTTTTTCTTTTTATGGTGGTGATGTTCTTAGTTTTATATTTGTAGAGGTTGATGGGCTGGTGTGCTTTGGATTGCGCAGAAACGGTAAATGTATGCTGATGTGACTGTAGCAAGACTCCCAAACTGCGTGTTTTGTGAATCTTTGATTGATTTTTTAATAGATGGATGTGACGAATTATGTCTGAGAGATTTGAAGTTAGGCACACAAACACATCTAATCCCTGTCCCTGGGATCAAATGGTCAAAAGAGAGCAGTGTAGTTTAAGTTCCACACACCAATGGATAATGAAAAAAGCACGTGGCTTATACTGCAAATTACCAATTCTCTTTTCTTTACGAATCTTGGGGTGGTTTCTTGCTATTTTCTGTCTTTTTGTTTTCATCATCTTGTTGTTCCTAACAGAGGGCCCTTTCTCTCGTTCTGTGGAGGATGAGAGCGTCGTTTCACCAATGGAGCACGGAAGAATCACAGTAGGATCATATTGCTTTACACGGCATGGTGCTTTGCGCTCGGGAGCAGAGGTGCATACACCACCTTGTTTTCCCTTGGATGTGAACTACAGCAACTACAGCGGATTACCTCCAAACTATCATTTCTTTTCGCTCTTGGATGGTGTTATTACTGTGGAGCAACGTCGTGTTGGTATCTACGCGACCTTCGACACATCCAGGATTCCGCCTGCACCAATCGAAGTAAAGCGTCATCACTCACATTACGCTAAGCTTCTACATTCTCCATCGAATAGAAGGGCACAACTGCGGGTTGTGGTGCAGCTTTCCGGTCATCTGCGCACTTTTCAAAAGTGTGCACCGTCGTTGAAAGGAAATATTCTAACCATGAACGAAGCAGAGTTGTTTATCGCGACGTATCCCAACTTGGGCCATAGACGCCGAGGGTTGACTGGTATTCCGGAGGAAGACCCACCACTTAGCAGCGCAGAAATGCAGGATGTGATCTACCACTACCGACCTCACCTTGCCGGAATGTTTCTTCTGGATTCAATTTCTATGCGGGAATACATGAAGGTTCTGTTTTCCCGCAAGGTACTTGAAAGTACAATCTGGGCTTGGAACATCCTTCAGTTTTTTACAACTGAGTTGGCACACGATATGAGTATAGCGGAGAGTATGAGAGAAGAGATTTCGCCAGCTGAGCTCGGGGACAACCTATTTTTTCGCTTTACATGCGACCGCGTACTTTACACAAGAAGTGGTTACAGACGAGTTACCCACGCACCATTTGATATTGTCATTCGCTTGCGTCCCGATCTTTATATTATGGGCCCTCTATGGGTGGAGCCACTTCTCACGGTGGAGCAGCAGCAACAAGCTTTGAC